GTTATAACAGCCGCGAAATGTGAAAAACAAAATCGCTGAAAATAAACTCAACGCCTCGAATAATTTCCGGCCTATCATCATTGGGCATTTATATTAGTGAAGTAAAATTTTTATAAATAATTCATTCCCAACCATATGGGAAGAGTTCCGAAAGAAAAGCCTTGGTAGAGAAACGGCAAAAAGGAATTCACATACGTATATCAAGTGGCAAATGCGTTTGGACCGTATCGAGCTGAAATGGCAAACTAAACCATAAAATTCTCGAGCAAGTTCGTTAACTGTTAACAATTTACGATGGCTGCAAACAGGAATTCCCGTAGAAATTATTTTTGACCGTATAGCTATTTTCTATGCCAGCCTCGTTAGTAAATAGTAATTAATTAATTACAGTACTTTGTCTTTATTTTTTTGCAAAATGTTTTACGCATTGACCATATATGTTACAAAATTTTGTTGCAAGCGGCTGTTTTAGCGGGAATATGTACATGTAATACTACAAACAAACAAATTTCCAATACTGGAATTCTGGCGGGCTACAATGTACTGGGCAATAAAGAACCAATAGATGGCGCATTACAAGATGCCATTCGGATTACCAAGTTAGCATGGGATTACTAATGGCGAAAATGTACTGTATCTGAAGCACGCTTTTTGTTTCATCCTATTCGGCATGATAACTTTCATCTTCTCTAATGCTTTCAAGGATCAGTATTACTCTGAAATCGTTTAGCCGTTTACCGGTAGTTGCCGTTCTTCTCCGACAAGTTCTAACGGCATGGTTTGCTTTATGGGGCCAGCGATAAGCACTGCATCTACACCGACAACTTGCGACTGTGATGTGTACTTAATTCTTTGCGCGTACTGTGTAATTGCACTAATCGGCGGTATTTAATTATCAATAACAGTTGGGTATTTAATTAGTGATTTAATTCTTGATAACAATAGGTTGTTTTTTAATGTTTAAATTATTAAAAATTATTATACATTTGGCTGCGCCTCCCGCCGTGTTGCGGAACGAACTGAATAATATGCTGGACTTGGGAAAATTGACGCCTATCGTCGTGAAAGAAAATGCGCGTGGGGAGTCGATATTAATTGCCGATACTGGACGGGAAGATGAGCACCGAATTCTTGTTTTCGGTGATCCCAAATGCTTTGATAATCTTGCAAAGTCTGCTGTCTGGTTAAGTGATGGAACGTTCAGCGTGAGCCCGCCCATCTTCACGCAGCTTTACACTATCCACGGCAAATATGTATGCGGATCAACGGCTCCTCTGGTCTATGGATTACTACCAAATAAATGAGAACTCACATATCGCCGCTTTTTGAAATCATTCGTGACCAATTGGTGGGAAAAAGTGGACAGGGTTACCGGTTAAGGACAAAACTTTATTATTTTATGTCAGTTCTTCCTTCTATTAATTTTTATTACAAAGCATGTTCCAAAATGTTTGGCAGTACAGAAAGTACTTGAACAGTTGACCTTAAAACGTGATTAATCGACCACAGAAATTAGATTCCAGCAAATACGTACGGAGTTTGTTGCTTTGCACGATTTACACGTCATTAATAATATTATTACGATGCATATGTGACATTAGTAGCACTGACAATACCGTAATTATTAATTGCGTTACCCCTTCTGGTGCTTTCTGATTCACACGTGCCCTAAGACGTAACAAAAGTTTATCATTTTATGTCAGTATGTTGTCCGTATTTGCTGCCGTTTCGGTAGCGTTTACGGAATTCCGCTATGATTTCCGCATTCGGCAAGCAAACAGTTATCAGTTCGATACCTGAAATGCTGCCAAAAACGGAAACCCAAAGGCAAAATGCACGAGTTATCGTAATCATAGAGCTGGTTGATTCTCTTAATATTAGCACCGGCGTATTTAACTAGTTAATTCTTTTATACAAATTTTTTCTTATTTGTACGGGTTTTAATTTGCAGTTAATTTGCTTAATTCGTACAAACATGCGAAACCGACAGTCAAAACGCAAGAATCAGACGCAAAACAACTGAACTGAAATCCTGTTGCTCACTCCGGCGAAACAAGGGGAGCGGCTAGGACTGATGTCAACGCTACCGCGGATAAGGCTTGTTTCAGCACCTACAACTTCCGCATCGGACCGACCAAAACAGTATAACACACATTATCACCAAGAAACAAAAATACGGCAATCAAATTACTAGCTTAGTGTTGAGCCATGGGAAACTGTCAGGCGCGAGAGAACCGAAAAGAGAAACGTTCAAAAGAGCACCACAAGACCTAAACGAAATGCTATCCCTGAGTGCGATCATATTACGACCGGAAGCTGTACCGGTGTCCGTGGTGTCAGCTATACTGCGGTCCGCCTCGGCACGCAATAAACAGCAGCTAAACCTGAACAGGGTCAACCGACTGGGACACGGAAAGATGTTATGCAGAAATTTACGATACTTTCCACATAATTATCCATGACAAGTTTTTGCGAATTTTTCGACAGTGCTTTAAACCCTGGAGCATTTTTCCCTTCACCGTTACTGCTGCCGAACTTGAAGGGCGGCGTACTGAAGTAGTATCGAAGTAGAGTCAACGAGAGTCGAGAAGAGCGAAACACTGAATGCAGTTTACTGCGGCGTTCTAGCAATTTGCATTTTTCATAATCAGCCTAAGTTTATTTACAGGATCAAAAATATGGGATAGTAACACGAATACTGGAATCCCTAAACGCAATATTGCGAATGCTGTCTTATGCTTTTTTTTACATTTTTACGGTATTCAACTATTTAAATTTTGCAGTTATTTAATTACCCAAAATATTTAAGTTGAGGTTTATTTCGAGCTCCACTGTGGTACTGAAGAAGCGAGCGCGGAAATCGGGTAAAACATAGCTGAGTCATTGTTAGAAGGAATTCGGGTTCAAGCCGGCGGAAGTGAATTATGACAGTTCCGAAAACTGGAAAGTCCACAGCGAATCGTTACCACACAGACTGCGTTTTTCAAGCTTGAGTATGCGAAACTGTGACCTGTATAACTTAGCGTTGTTCCTTTCTGCCCTACCGCAGACGATAATTCTGAGCGACCACAATTTGTTGATGCCCGGATGTCTGCATCATTTGGTAAGACAGTGCCTTGATCTGGAGAAATCATCGTTACCCGACAACTCGTTCGGTGAGAAAGTGCCTTTCATCCGCAGATGGATTTGACGAAGACGAAGGAGTTGGATTTCCGAACATTCATATTTCAGATGTTGCACGGTAACTCATCTATCCAGCAAACCACCACTACGTGTAATCGGAACAGCATACTTCGCAGGACACACGTTTTTCAAGCAAATACATTACAAGAACGAACCCGACTTCGTTTACTGGGCTCCGCTGTGGTATGCCAAGAAAATGTCGTTGAAACGAAAAAGGAATTGAAATGTTCGCTAAAATATCTGTATCCGTTTTCTTCATATTCAGTAATTTTTCTATTATTGATGACAGAAGAAGGAGTTCAATGTTGTAATGCTTGTACATACTCTGAAGTCCTAAGTCTGAAGTCCGTTTGGCTGATCGGTGTACAAACGTGTCCGATATTTTCAAAAGGACTTATACAACCAACTAGGCCTGATTCGGAACCGTCGCATGGAAGATGCCATCGCGAGATCGGACTTAACATCACCCAGGAAGTCCGCTCGCGCACGCGACAGTTCGGTCTGGCGGTTAAATCAAGACGAGAAAGCATTCGACTTGAAGTCGACGGAATAAAGCGATGATAGTTCCCTGGACGAGGAAACACACACGCAGTACATGCAGCAACAAAATTCCGTGCAATGTTGTAATCGAGGCCGGTGTAGGATGTTATCAACATGAATGATCATCCGTTATACCGGCATGATTTTTTTGGAGTGCACTGTATAGTACAGAAAATTAACCCCCTTTTTAACGCGATCATCCGTATGAGCAGCAGTAAAATGCATCCAGAGGGAGCAAACCGTTCAGAGTTCGTAAGTACTGAACATTTCGAATTATAGCGGTTTTTCCTGTTCGTGTATTTTCCTACCATCGCTGTCGATGTCCTGCTTGTTTCAGATTTATGTAGAGGTTCTTGCCATATTTCTTGTTGCGTTGAGCGCCATTTTTGCAGGTTTTGCGAAATCAAGAATCAGGTAAGCTGCTATATTATAAACTTCGAGCTCCATTAGTACGTTAAGTACATTATCTAACGAAAAGAATGGACAAGTTCTATGGTTACTTTGACTTATGGATTTTGGCCTTTGGTTTCCGTTTTTGGCAGCATTTTAGATATCGTTAACCGATATATGTTTGCTTGCCGAAAGCGGAAATTAGTAGGTGCCTCCAGCGGTCACCGTCCACGAAGCACGAGAAACTATATTCTAGAAATAAAACCAGTTGGAAGAAAAAGGTTGTTGAAAATTGAAATGGCAAATTAGTATTTTCCATACAGTAAACTTTAAGAGCTACGAGAAAATTACCCGTAACTACTCTAGTCGTAAATGGGACGATTTTTGTACATGTTTACAAATACATTCGTGCGACAGCATTTTAACATAAGTGCTGTATTCAGTTTTGTGAGCGGACCAACATAAAAAATTGGTACATACTACTTACTATTATCAGAACCACAACACTTTTAATTTTTATTGTAGGTGTCAGTGATAATAATCGCACAGTATACTTCGAAGTACTCGTAGGAAAGCACCAGGCAGGTACAAGCCAACTCGAAACCACTGTAAGCGCGATGCAGTGAACAGCGCACAGTACGACCTTTGTAAACTCTTTGCAGTGTAAAATACACGGTAGTACTGGGTCTTCCTGCCTAATACTGCTACCAGTGCTGTATTGTTTCACCCGTGTACAGAGGCTTCTCCAGTTGCATACTGTTCAAACCCTTGCGGTTCGATTTTCTGGACAGTTTATGATTTCATCTGAGCGCCAAAATATAGAATGTCAAAAATGAGCACATAATCTAAACATATTTGGATAATCTAAATGTACCTCCCATCTTTATTTCGATTCGTAAAATCACGGCAATAACAGCAGACTGTAGACACTACTGCTTCAAAATAACAACCCAAATTGCATTTTAAAATGCGGTAAAGATTCTTAAAATTTAGCTAATTACACACTTTTCGTCTCACAAGTTCCGCATTAAGCAAGTATAGTACTGCGTCGGCTTCAGTTTGACGCCGACAGTTTCGAGCAGATGAACTTTTTTTCCCTTATAAGCCAGTACGTGGGGTCTGCAAAATTGGCGGTGTTCCCACTGCGATTAAGAACGCAAAAAATGCAGCAAGATTAAGATAAAATGGTTGCAATTTTCCTGCTCTGATTTGTTGCTGCATTGTTAATTTAGTGCAACTGTCTTTTGTTATTATAATTTTGTTCCGCTGTATCATCATGGACCACTCTTCTGAACAATACTTGTAGAGCACAAAGGTCAACTTCGTAATGAATTCTGATAGGCGAATCATGTTCATTGAAGACAGTAAAATCAAGACTCGCCTAGGCGGCGCTCAGTTTATACAGCCAACTGTGAACAAAAACCCAGTTCCCTCTATCAGAATGCGCATGCCTTCTTCTCCGCACTGTCGTATTACTGCGGCACGGGCTGTGCCGTTTACATGCGCCATGAGTCGCGAAATTTCACTGCAAATCATAATTAAAACTTGACTTAAAACTTTGACTACATCTGGAAAAGCGTACAGTTAAACTGCATTAAACCGCAAGTTCGTAACGCTTACGGCTAACCAACCTGCAGACGTTTCGTTTAGCACTGGAAGTGTCATGGGATTGCAGTAGAAAGGATGAATTGGCGGGAAAGGGTGATCTGTCAGGGATCTCTTCGTTACGGTCATAGCAGGCACGCAACGCGGGAACATAGCGCCGCGGACCGAAAGGTGATCCGCACAACTTGGCGTTAACAGCATGCCACGCGACCATGAACCAGCCGCTCGCGTCTCGGGGAAGTGAATGCTCCGGACAATGTTCATTCATACTCTTCAAGCACTGCCCGGTTTCCTGACCCAGGCTGCAAAAGTTAGCTTAGAATCGTCTGTGCTCCCACGGCGTTTTCTTACATTTGAACCGCCCAAAATATTTTATCCGGCATGTCAGTTACCGATTGTTACTGTATATGCAGCTACCCGGTAGTTGCAAAAGAAGCTATCACCGCACAGCGACGGAATGATCAAAATGCAAAGTCTTAATTAAAATCTAACGTTAGCCGTGCCTTAGAATAAAAATGTGACTTTTGATTGGTTGGTTATGTATTGAGTCTGGTTCCAAACAACGTTTTTTAGACTTAAAAAAATTAAAGCGGTCCTGGCAAATTTCTTCTTAATTTACATTACAGAAAGCATTACAGAAAAAGCCGTGTTTTGTGACAGATATCGGAAAGAAAAAACATCCGGAGTTTTCGAAATTTTCAGATAAAATCTCCGTTATCTATTACGAACGGGTGCCCCTGCTTCCAGCTTCGGAAATCTCTGACTGAATTTTTTACTTTACTGAATACTTTAACTGAAATTTTTTTATGTTATACAGAAAAGTTTATTTCCAAAAGGTGCCATAAGGTACGTGCCATAAGGTGCCCTTTGCGCTTCTCAGCACTCAAAATACCGTAGTGCGAGTGGTAAAGAGAAAAATCAAAAACAGTCGAAGTAGGTGTTAGCATAACTGCATTAGGACTGATACGAGAATAAGTACTGTAACTCGAGTTATGATTACTTATGTATGTACCGACAGAACTCTTGCTCCGCTGGGGCTGCCCGATTTGCCTCTTCATCAGTAATATTCCAGCGTTCAACGTAAAACGCCCAGTCCGCTTCTCGAAACTTCTCTCGCAGAGTTTGGCAACGTGCTTCCAGTTCGCCGCATAGCTCCAACGAATAGCATTCAGTCGTAAAGATAATTAACATCACACAAAACGTTGTGGCATGCATGACTGCCGTTGTTAATGTGGATGCTGCTTTCGGTTTGCTGCGAACCAATCATCAGTACATTTGACGGCAACAACTTCTACAACCTATCTCTACTGTTGCGGGGTAAACGCAAGTGCAGGTTTAATGTGATTTAACTCCAGTGTTTTCAGCTTCACAGCGTACCGGGGTTTTGAGATTTGTGCAATTGATAGCGCCCATTTAAAGCGATTTACAGTTTGATAATGTGCAAAGCGATCGGTCTACGGCCATAGCGGATATTGGCACTGCAGTTGTTCACGCTTGAAACAATATCCTAAAGCGAATTCCGCTAGCGTAAAATGCAGCATAATTACAGTATTTTTGAAAACTGTCGTGAAATTAAGGAGCCCATCGCAACGTTAACGATCAAATCCTCAGTTAATCTTCCATTTTACCGAAGGACAATAAGCGCTGAATGCTAAAATAAAAAAACGTTTTCATACAACAGACACTTCATTTATAGAATTACAGTTGTCCAAGTAAAGATATTCCCAACTCTCCATCAGAATTCGTCTGCCTTCATCCCCACACTGTCGCATTACTGCAGTGTGCGCAGTTCCGTTCACATGTGCCATAAACTGCATGAGAGTTCTACAAACAGGATCTCATAGAATCACAATGAGCAACGTGTTGAAAATCTGATTCAATTACGCTGAGAAACATGCAACCACACGCAACATTCACATTTTTGCCCACGGCCCACCTGCAAGCGTTACGCTGTGCACTGGAAGCGCTGTGTGACTGCAGCGACAAGGGCGACTTGAACGGCGGTGACGGCCTGTCTGGAATATCCTCGTTGGTGTCGTAGCAGGCACGCAAGGCGGGCATGTATCGCCGTGGACCGAAAGGTGTGAAGCACAGCTTGGCATGGAAGGTATACCACGCGGCCATGAACCAGCCGCTATAATCCCGGGGTAGCTCATGTTCCGGGCAACGCTCGTTCAAGGCCTTCAAACACTCTCCGGCTTCGTGGCTCACACTGCAATTACTGCAATTATTATTATGTCATCATTGCAATATTTTGCGACTTTTTTGATACCGTACTTGAACTTCTCTCGTATCTTGATGACTTAAAATACATTTCATGTGGAACGTTTAGCACCAGTACTGCTGTGTAAACCGGTGTCTTCCATGAGGACATGTACGATTGCACGTCAGATTTGTGCACGCATTTCCGAAATATTAAAAGCATTTTCTGTTAATTTAAGGATACTGTATGGTACAATTATTACGAGTTTTATCTCCAAAAGCAAGGAATCCCACGTACATGTATTTTTTAGCATGTTAGTATATGTACTGTATGCAAAAAGGACATGATTATAGTCTATAGACAAACTACGAGTATTCTTCACAAGTTTGTATAACTTAATTTGAAAAAGCCGGGCGTCGGTGGGTCTGCCAAGGCAGCAGAGTGCGGTACTCCCGGGTGTTTGTTTAACTGGAACATAGTATTATAATCTGGCTATACCGACAAAATTCTCCCGCGGCTGGGGCTGTCCGGTTGGCCTCCTCATCGGTTATGTTCCATTGTTCAGCGTAAAAAGCCCAGCCCGCTTCTCGAAACTCCTCTTGCAGAGTCTGACAGCGTGTTGTCAGATTGCTACATGTCTCCGCAAGAATCAACGAAAAGCACCCGCTGGCAAGGGCAAAGAATACAACACAGAGCGGCGTCACGTGCATCCTACCGCTTCGGAGTTTGGACGATTTCTTTAGCTTCTTAACAAATATGGTACCTTTAAAATGTCAGCGCTTTATATGACACTCGTGCAAACGACTGCAATGCCCGTAACTGCTGTCGATCTGTACACCCACCGATCAATAATGAGCCGCTTCGAAACGGGTGCTATCAAATCCAAGCATCTTAAGATACACTCGTGTACTGTACAAACGCTCGATCAGTAAGAATAAGAAACCTAACTTTGTTTTCAAATGCGCTCGTGTTTATTTGCAAACACTGTATCAAAGTTTGCCTGGCGTTGGACTTTGGAATCGCCAACTGTAAAAGCCTGCATCGAGCATAAAATATTTCGGAAGAGCTTTAAATACAAACATATAAATCAACAGTCAATTAGTTCCGACAATTCGCCTGGTAAAAAAGTGCAGGTCCTTCCAGCACAACGCGCACCCCTTCCTCACCGCATTTGGCTGTAATTGCTGCACGGGCGGTGCCGTTGAGGTGTGCCACGGTGTCAGACAGCATACTGCCGATTAAAACTAGATATAACATTATAAACAGCGGAAAGTCATTATTCAGTGCCGCACTGCAGTAAAACCAACAGGCTCTAATCTGGCGCCGTCAGTTTCGAGCAGGCTGAGCTTTTTATCCCTTACAAGGTAGCATTCTGGGTCTGAACGACCAAAGGTGTACCCATTTCGATTAAGCACAGCACGTAAAAGATGCAGCAACATCAAGATAAAGTGATTGTATTTTTTTTGCTCCGGCTTGTTGCTGCGTTGGTGCATCTATCTTTTCTTGTATATCTTTATTCTATATTTTTGTTTTGCTGCATCATTCAAGTACACAATAGTACCTGCAAAGCACAAAGGTAACTTTCTAATTAGTTCCAGCAATTCACGTTCGTTGAAGACAACCAAATCAAGGCTCGCTGCTGGCGGCGCTCAGTTTAAACAGCTAGCTCTGAACAGAAACCCAGTTCCATCCATCAGAATTCGCAAGCCTTCTTCTCCGCACTGCCGCATTACTGCGGCACGGGCTGTGCCGTTTATATGTGCCATGAGCCGCGAAATATCACTGCAAAACATAATAATATTAAAACTGATGAACTTCTCCGGAAAAGCATGCATTTACGGTAAGTGCGTTCAACCGCAAGTTCGCAACGCTTACGGCTAACCAACCTGCAAACGTCTCGTTCAGCACTGGAAGTGTCATGGGATTGCAGTAAAAAGGTTGAGTTGGCTGGAAAGGGCGATCTGTCAGGAATCTCTTCGTTGCGGTCATAGCAGGCACGAAGCGCGGGGACGTACCGCCGTGGACCGAAAGGTGATGCGCACAGCTTGGCGTTTACGGCATGCCACGCGACCATGAACCAGCCGGTCGCGACTCGGGGAAGTGAATGTTCCGGACAACGTTCATTTAAACGCTGGAGGCAGGGTCCGGTTTCCTGGCTCAGACTGCAATGGTTCACTTATAATCTTCTGTGCTACCACGGCGTTATCTTGCATTTAAATCGCCCAAAATATTTTCATCCGTAATGTTAACTATAGATTATCATAGAAGTATACATAATCTATAGTTAACGGACTTTTCTTTTCCTTAGACAGAAAAGTTTTTTATCTTATCTAATTTTTTTATTTTAAACAGAAACGTGGATTTCCAAGTGAATAAACTTTACCCGGAAGGAAATCGCGTATGTGCGATATGTGTCTATAAGCTGCCCTATGCTTAACTCAGCTATCAAAGTAGTGGGAGTGTTAAAGTGGAAAAACAGAAACAGTCGAGTAGGCGTTAGCATAACAAACTGACACGTGATTACCGCAGCTCGAGTTATTACTATATGTACCGGCAAAACTCTTTCTCCGCTGGGGCTGATCGATTCGCCTCTTCGTCGGTAACGTTCCAGCGTTCAACATAAAATGTCCAATGCGCTTCACGAAACTTCTCTCGCAGAGTTTGGCAACGTGCTTCCAGTTCGCCGCATGGCTCCAGCGAATAGCAACGAGTCGTAAGGGTGATTAGCAACGCAAAAAGCGTTGTTGCATGCATGGCTGCTGATGTGGTTGCGAACCGATTACTGTGTACAATTCTCAGCCGTTTATGCAGCTTCTCTATACTATTGCCGCAATTACTATTGCGGTAGTATTGCGGATACACCCAAGTGTAAGTTTAAAATTATTTGACTGTTGTGTTTTCGACCTTAAAACCGTACCGGCGTTTTGAGATGTGTGCTTTTGATAGCGCCCAGTTAAGACTCACTCGTGTACATATGCTTGTTCGGCAAAAATAATACACCTAATTTTGTTTTATACCCGCGCTCGCGTTTATTTGAAAACACTGTAGGAAAGTTTGCCTGACGTTGGACTTTGCAATCAACCACTGGCAAATGCATAAACATGCATTAAGCATAAAATGTTTTGGAAGAGCTTAAATAGGCAAGCATCTCAATCAGCAGTCGTTGGATTCTGACAATTCGCCTGGTAAAGAAATGCAGCTCCTTCCAGCATAACGCGCGCGCCTTCCTCACCGCACTTGGCTGTAATTGCTGCACGGGCGGTGCCGTTGAGTTGTGCCACGGTGTCAGACAGCATACTGTGGATTAAAATTAGAAATGAATTTAGAATGTCATCAATGAACTGCAGAGTTGATGGTAAACACCAACCTGCAGGCATTTCGATGGGCAATGGAAGCGCTGTTAGCCTGTAGGTACGGTGAATCGTTCAAAGACAGCGTCTTATTAACAATCTGGCTGTTGTGGAAGTAGCACTCCATCGCGGCAGGCAGGAAGCGCTGCGGTCCCACGGACGAGTTGCACAGCCTCGCGTTAAAGGTGTTCCATGCAGCCATAAACCAACCGTTTTCATCCTTGGAAAGCCGGTGTTCCGGGCAGCGCTCGTTCAAACTGTTCATACAATGACCGGTTTCTCGGGCCAGACTGCAAATACACCGCTGTTATTCTTGCTGTTATGCGATTATGGGTAAGTAAGAAATTGTTGGCCTTCTTTATCTGTTTGGATTTCTCATTCCTTCGTTTTCCACGAGTTAATAAACTGCTGACTATACCGGCAGAAGGTTTCCGCTGGCTGGGCTCGCTGGTTTGCTTCCTCCTCCGTTACTGGCCAGCCTGTCCGCATAATTTCCCGATCGGACATACGGAAATCATCCCGCAAAGAGCGACAGATTGTTCCCAGTCCGTCACATGTTTCGTCCGCCCACGTCGGCACACAAAAGCCGGTAGGGAGCGCAAACGTCCATAAAAGCAAAGGCACCCAGAACATTTGAACTGCTTTTGACAAAACCTTTGTTGCCGTGAACCGCTTTGAACCAGCAATACTTTCGTTCGGTTCAGCTTCGTTTGTATACGGCTTTCGATACCGCGAGTTCTGATTACGTGTGCAGCTTAAACTATCTAGTTAGTAGCTTCTACTGATTGTGTGTCTTGCTGTGTTGGAACCATATGAGACACCGACCATCGGAAGTACCGCATTCCGTTGGTCTTATCAGATAGAAGTATCGAAATCGCCATCTTTCGCACTGATCGTCGGGTATGATCTGCTGTGGGCATCGTATGTGGTGGAATTTGTGGTACTTTTAAGTACAGTAGTACAACCACATCAGCAGTACTTCCAAAAAGTCCTGCTGATGTGGTTGTACAGTTTGTGTGCAGATTACCGTGATAAAAAATATGCGCGCCAAATTTACAATAAATTACATACTTGAAGTACTCCGCTTTTTAATTAAAATAAATACTGTACAGAAATACGGTATTGTATTTTGTATGGTATTTTCGAGATATTTTTATTATGTTTTTATAATTTTTATAATTTTATGTTTTTATAATTTTGAAAATGATGAAGAAAGGTTTGGCATCTATTGACAGCGGCAGCCAGTTTAGCCACGGGAACAGCACAAAACCTTCCGGAAAACGTCCACCGATATCACGTGCATCTATTGCAGCATTTACTGTACGTATTGTGTAATAACACGCTATCGATTATTACATGAATACTAACTATCTGTGCCAGGATTTCGGCCCCTCTCCTTTGGCGCCGGTGATCTCAGCTTCTACTCATCCAATTTTCCTGCTTTAAAATGCTTTAGAAACCTCCCGATCACGCGGGTGTTCTAAGACCAATCGTCGTTGCCAGTTTACAGAACCTCAAGTCCAGTGGTTACTCAAAAGCTTGTTACCATGGATGCCATTGGTCTAACATGGGCGGGTTAATTTGCAAATTTCCAGGGAGACAGCTTATGTTCTAACCATGTTGCAACATATGGCATTATTCTGATAAAAAAATCTGAGATAGTCGCAAGCCGATATTCATCCGTGCTCAGCTTGTATCATTTATATGTATACCTTACGGATAAGTGCAATGCAGTGTACTTACCGTATAACTCATAAATATTTTCATACGGTTACTGGAGCAATATTAAACATTAAAGCATGAATGGCATAACTACCGACTCAACATATCAAAACAATCAGAAGCCCCAATTCAGTACTTCATTAACTGGTACCTTAGCAACGCACGGCACGGTACCACTTTCCATCAGAGACTGCGTAGTGTTGCAGTAGTTGTCTTCCACATTATAATCGAAAGGATTAGTATTAGATTGCACAGGTTCCTAAATTCAGGTCTACGAACGCTCACGAATGTGCATAAATTTACTGGCTCGTGCACTGGTTAGATAATCCGAAATCTGTTGACAAATCTGGCAAATGTTGATGTGAACTAAACATTGATTTGGCTACGTTTTATTTTGCTAAACGAGTCATCGATGCGCCTTTGCGCTTTCCCCTGAGAAAACCTTTCAACCCTTGATCCCCCGCAACAGCCACTAATGGATAGTCAGCCAGGTAAGTGGATTCATTTGCCTCTGTGATTTTATCCGGAATGTCATCTAAATATAAGTACACTGTACATGTATGTAATATGCGTTTACCCAATCGAGATCTTGGTCCATGTTAGCAGTATGACGCTATTTTCAAGCGATAAAAGGGGTGCAAATAATTAAATTACAACAAACAAATTCCAGGCCGGTCTTGCGTAGGATTGTATGGTTTTCATTCATACGATGTCGCTCTATCCGCTGCCGCCTGCAACAGTCGCAAAGCATCTGGGTCTGTGAGTACAAAAATTGAGTTTTGCGCTTGCGGTTCCGTAATTTAATTGAACGTTGGATATTCGGACAATTTGGATTTGCTTAGTTGAAAATACTGCGTACGAATAATACTGCGAATCCAGCGACTGAAGTTGAAGGCGGCCCAACTGTTGTTATTACTGCCAGATTGTCACTTCGCAAAATAAACATCGACACACTACCGCCTGGTGCCAGGCAATTTCTCTGCAGCGCAAGAACACTAATCTGCGTGTCATCGTTACTTGGTTTCTTCTTAGTAACGTGGCTCACCCAACGGATTAGTGCGATACCGCTGCGGAGGCCACGCAACATTGTTGTTTTCCATTTACAAGAAAGGTTTCTTCTGTTTATCTTCTTCCTAATAGGAAATTTCCGTGAAAGACGTCACTGGTAGTTCTCTCTTTCGTACTGTTCGTTGTACTGAATTCGTGTAATATGAGCCGCATCTAGATACCTTTGGCCGATCTCAAATATATTATTCCTGAAAAAGATTTCAACCGGTTGGCTATTATTGTACAGGGTTATGACACTCCCAAGTCTGCTTTTATGGTTGGGGAGGTATTCTTCTTTTAGCATTTGAGCGAAGCTAGTGGCATCTTTTTTTTCCATACGGTTGCTTTAATATTCATCAGATATCTCGTAGGAAACAACTTATCATCTTCTAAAACACCAGCCCAACATGGTTCGGCCGGATAGGAACCAAAAGGGCCGGAATCCCGTCAAACATGGTATTTTTAGCTGCTTAAATAGCACTTTCTTTGCTAATCTTTAGCGACTGTAACATTTTCAGTACGGCGACCTTTTTTCCCGGAAACATTTGAATACTACGCTGTTACTTGTTGAACTGTAGCGGCTGAACTAAACTCAATGTACACATCCCACATCCCTATTTGGTAGATTTTAAAAATGAGATATCGAGCGGTACATTTTTAATTTTTTAGACCAGAGCGGTCTGGGCTATCAGTTTCAGTTCGAACATGACGGTTTAGAAGAACCCAAAACTATCTGGCCCGCCTTTAAGCATTAGGTTTTGGAATAATATTATGGTTTTGGAATATGGTAACCTGGGTCTGGGAGGGAGGCAACGGACTCGTCATTTTGCTCGCTTATGGTAATACAGATAATAATCTACATAATATGCTTCTGTTAAGTGCGCAGAATTCATGCTACACCGCTAGGGGGGTCCGGTATAGCTTGCAGGCCCTGCCCTTTATCGTTGCCGGGACTAAGACATAATGCAGGCAATGGATTTACCCGTTCCAGTCGGACCTTGCATAGGTTTGTTTGGTTGTAGTCCATACGATGCCGCTCTGTCCGCTCCCGCCTGCAACAGTCGCAAACCCTCTGTCGCATACGAGTACAGGAATCGAGTTTTGTTTTTGCGGTTCCATAATTTTAATGGGTCGTCGGATGTTCATCGAATAATTTGGATTTGCTTATTTGAAACTACTGCAGACGAGCAGCGTTAAAGAATATTACTGAAATTCGAGCGATTGGAGCTGAAGGCGGGCCAACTGTTGCTGTTGCTGCCAGCGGAAGCCCCAGCTCCACCGACTGCCATTTTGCAAAATAACATCGCCAAACTGCCGTCTTTTCGAGATTCGATTTCTTTGCGGGCGCAAGAACTCTGATTTGTGTGCTCATCGTTACTTGGTTTTCTTCTTAGTTTAAACGTGGCTCACAGCCCCACACAACCCATGAGTGCGATACCGCTGCTGGGACCACGCAACGGTATTACAAAAGACGCAATCCTTTGAATGCGCTCTTTCTTCCATTTACAAGAAAGGGGTTCTTCTGTTTATCTTCTTCCTAATAGAAAATGCTCGTGTAAGACTTCACTGGTGCTTCTTCCTTTCGTACTGCTCATTGTACTGAAACAGTGCAATATGAGCGGCATCTACAGACTACAGTGCAAGGTACCTTTGGCCGATATCAGATGGATTATTTTTGAGAAAAAGTTCAACTATGATAGCTATGATAGCTTGCGACGACATGCGCAGAATCACTTACTGCATATTTTTTTCTGGTATAAATGTATCTCTCTGCATTATCCTTCCGAATGCCTTTACGCTACCAAATTCTGACCATGAACATCAAACATTTTTTTTTTGTAAAAACATCAGACTTCAGACATATCCTTTCGTAACCTACTTCCGGCGGTGTTTTTCGTATCCCTTGTGCTCCGTTTCGAGTACCGAAAATTATCTAGCTTGTAACGAAAGTACCTTAGTGCGTCCGTTGCTTTTTTTCTTCGGATGCTTGCACGCCGGCAGAGACTTCCGGGATACAGCCGATGTCTATTCCGTGGCTGTGTAATTTATGCACTGATCCGCGTCTGGCTATACGGAAGAACGATTTCTTCCAGATGGATCGAAAGACTCAGTACTTGCTATTTTACGGAAAATGTAAAAAATAGTAGACTGGCCGGGTTGCATAATCTGAGTTGAAGTGAATTGCGCCTGTATATTGGACATAATTATTAAAACATTGAATTGTTAAAATATTTTTATAAGTGAAATACGTTCAGTGTATTGTTGTATTGATGTTCTGCTTCGACCGATCGAAACGTAGCGAAGCCATCCGCTTGCAGCAATGACAATGTGGTGTCCGTACGTCGGTCACTGCCATTCCTTACACAGTCGTAGGTGACCGTATTGCATGCATCTACATGATATCTTCCTGTTGGCCGCTTTCCTATCGTAAACTGCTACCACGGACAACATCACAACCACCGGCGAAACCATTAACTAGGGTAGGTTTTTGCCTTTGGAATTCATAAAAACTGCCTTCTGTCCCATGAAAGTAGGACAGACCGCTGCAGACAGCAGATCCTGTGCGCGCCATATAGATTTTTCATAATTATTTTTGACGGCAACCTAGTATCAAAGGTCTCTGAGGCATTTATTTTTCTTGCACATGTCTCGCTATTTTACATTTAATTTTGCAAGTGGTGGTACAGTTTTCGCATAATGTTTCTATTGATTCAGAGTTTCCGTTCCGCTGTTTTTTCGGTACTTTTCAGCTGCTTATAGCACGGCATAAGAACATACTGCAGGCAGTAGTGAGTAAAAGGTACTTAAGCACGCAGTTGTTATGAAAGCACGAGAATGTATCACCTGTATAAACAAACTCAATTCTGAATTTTTGGCTTGGTTTTCCGTTTTTGGCAGCATTGCAGATATCGTCAACCGATATCCGTTTGCTTGCCGAATGCGGAAATCATAAGGATATCTCCGCCGTTCCATAAGCCAACGGATAGCTATGTAAAACCAAGTGGAGGATAAGGATTGCTTCATTGCTTTAAAAAAAAAGGATTTTTGTCGAAATCTTAAATTTACTATTGCAGTTCGAGTGAACTTGGTACGATTGAGTGATTGATGTTCTCGGGACAACAGGCGTACAAGCATGCGCTAACATACGATGATTAATTCTGTTGGTAGACTTCAAAAAGATACAGTGAAACCCCTCCTAACGTACACCCTTTTATAACGTTCACCCCTTTATTATTTGCATACGGCTGGGAACCGGACTGTCCGGCATATTATAACATAGGAGCAGTTCTCTGTATAACGTTCACCCCTCTACAACAAGTACAACGTACACCTATCATGGAACGGCAGACCATATTTAACGTATATTCAACCCCTGCGTTACGTACACCCGGCTAAGAACGAGTAGCAACAATTTCAAAGAAAGCTCCGGCTTCAAGTTTTAAGTCTGCCCAATTCCGGATCTTGCGATGCAGAACAGCCGAACGATATTAAAACAACATTTACATGCGTAGTTGGGAACGTACCCTGTCAGTAACGTTACTGTGGCGGTTTTAAAAAATGGACGCGAAGTGTAAGCGTCAGAGCTTTTCTTTGGAGAAAAAGCTGGAAATCATTATCGCCGTTAAGTCAGAGGAACTCAGTGTGAGCGCAGGCGTACATGCGTACACCCTCGCTTTGGCAGTCTGTTGTGTTTTGCTGCACGCCCGCCTTACGCGTGGCGGAAGCACGCTGTTCTGCACGCACCCGCACTGTGTGGCGGCTACGTGCGCATTTTCCACGCTTGCTGCAGTCAGCAATGCGGAGTTGTCGATGAGGAAATTCTATCGAATTTAGTCTTGTCATAAATTCCTAGCAGTCACGCCATTTCTCGCTTTCTGTAGCGTAGGCGCTTTCATAGCACTGCCAGGCTTTTTGGTAGGCAGAATCACGTCAATTCTGTTCCTACGCGTGAACCTTCACCAGGTCCACGCTCATATGGTAGCAAGAGTCGTGTTTCTCCAGAATAATCTCTGAAGTTTTTCCCGTCCATTTGACGAGGTGTGGAAGAAGTCTCCCGCGAGAAAGGGCTCGCGTACTGATCGGTGGCGAAGGAGCGTTTGGATCTCAGCAGATCAGCATCAGTGTGTCTCTACTGAGTAGAGCACGCTGTACTGACCTGACGCGATCAAGGCTACTGAAGTAGCTTTGATTGGAGGGGCACAAGCGCCGAGAAAGATCGCCGCAAGAGGCAGAAGCCCGAAGGGGGGCACGAGTGGGCAAGCCACTTTGGCTGTCGGGTGTGGAGTTTCAGGTGCGTCTCTACTGAGTAGAGCGCACACATTATACGCGCTCTCCCAAAGGGTGATCGAGCGCCCCTGTCGTTGCCAACGTTAAGGCGCGACAGAAGACCCGCAACCAGCAAGCTATTTGGTCGACGCACCGTTGCGTCCCGTTGAGGCGAAACGGAAGGGGTTATCGGCTGGCCCAGGAGAAGTCAGCTTAATCGCTGGAGGATTGGAGGAATCGCGGAAGGACGCGCAGGATCGATTTCTGGATCACGGAGACGATCAGGTCAGATTTTCGTTTATTAATTTAGCTATTGGCTGATTGGTAAAATCCTCAATTCTTATTGGTCGGTGATGAGCTGAGCGAAAAAGTAGGCGGTACTTTTGCGCACGGCGCGCTAGCTAAAATTTTCGATTTTCGACGTGACGTCACTCTGCCTTATAATCTGAAAAACAACGTTTCTGATTGGTCAGTTATTCGCACTGTGATTGGCGCAGTAACGTAGTTAGAAATTAGCCAATTAGAAGCTGAGATTTCGATAGGAGGCGGAGTTTTGCGCACGGCACTTAAGATCGTGACGTAGCCAGCTGAGAAAATTTTCTGAATCGACTGACGAGAAGTTGACCTTTACCAAAAATTTCGACGAGAATGATGACCTTTATTAAAAGTTGAAAGCTGAATAAATAACGTTTATTCTGAGGAAATCTAAGTTGATTTCTCAATAAAATCGAAAAATATTCTCAGGTTAGACGTTCTAGAACGAAGTTGATAGTGACCTTTAAAACAGAAAAGTTCTGAAGGAAAAAGTGACCTATAACGCGACGGAGTAAGCTATTAAGCTGAAACAGTGGAAATTAATCTCATTTTACTAAAGGAAGTGACCTTTAGAAGGGACTTAGCATTTTTGAGGCAGAGTGACCTTTAGTAAAATTGAGCTGATACAAAAGAAGGTGACCTTTAGGACAGCACTTGTTTCTGTTTACGTGTAAAGGGGCTTACGTAGCTAAAACTAACACACGTGTCAGAAACATTATTAGCATCGTCCAAGTTATCCGATCATCAACGGAAGCCAAAGATATGGACCAAGACACAGACGGTAATGAACCGGTCTCATCGAGCAGTCAGAGAGAACGGTCTCAGGGTTAGAAAACCCTTACGAACGGAAACTAAAGCCGTACACACGGCCCGTGGAACATGAAAGAGCAACTCGAGCTCAAAAGACCTTTGGGAGGAAGGACACCAGAGGCTCAGAGGCCACATATCAAACGGCCCTGAGGGAAACTCAGAACGAAAGCTCGAGTGACGGAAATGGAAAAGCTCCGAACGACATGTCGGAGATAACACGGTAGACCAAGCAAAGGTCACCGAAGAGAGAACGGCTTCAGATGGACAGAACAAAGATGACAAGAAGGCCGAGACCGGAGGAATGGCACGGTCGGCCGAAAAGGTCAAGGAGGAAAACGCGGATCAAGTTGAGAAGGGAAGTGACGAAGTCAGTCAAAAGGTCACCGAAGGTAGTGGCGCCGTCAGCAGCAACGAGCTGATCGACGAGGGAAAGGTCAAACAGAATGACCTTTCGGAAAACTCACTGTCCTTACAAGAACAGCTGGAAGAGAACGGTACCAGCCCCACGTCAAGTGACAAGTTTTACACTGACGATGAAGACGAAACGACGGTACAGACGTCTTTCCATACGGCAATGAAGGAGGCAAACTTAACGAAAGGGATGTTTGATACGACCCTCCAGGACAAGCCAGAAGAGACCTTTGAAGGAACGGCGTCAGGAAGAGCCGACGACCGGGACCAAAGGTCACCATCACCAAAAACATCCGTAATGAATGGCTTAAAGCAGCGTGTCAAGGAACTCGAGCAGCTACTTGACGAGAAGGAGAGCCAGGCATTCGCTGCCATTCGAGAACAACGGAATAAAACTATCGAAGTCGAAGCAAGGCTGTATGTGATGGAGCAAGAAAAGGTCACGCTCGAAGACGAAGCGCAACAATGGAAAGTTAGATTTGAAGTTCAGAAACAAGCGGCGGAAGATCTAAGGAAAATGGTCGAAGATCGAGACGCGGAAGGCATACTCACCGCAGAAGAAGACGGTCTGTCCGAGGAAGCAGCTGAAAGGTCACAGGAAATAGCAGAATTGAAAAATGAGCGTGACCTTTTACAGTCAAAGGTCAAGGAGGCCGAGAAAAAACGTGACGAATCTCTAGCAAATGCGACGAAGTTCACCGGAAAGGTCACCAGCTTGACGGCTGACATCTCGAAACTGAAGGATGACCTTAAATTACGCGAAGACCTTGTCAACACGTTACAAACAGAATTAAAAGAGATGAAAAGGAAACACAACGAAGCGGAAAGCCAGAGAGATCAAGCAGCAAAGGAACTGCTTGAACTGGCTGAAATAACAAAAACTGAATTCAAGCGACTCAATGACGAAATCGACAACCAAAAGAAAGAAGCAAAGAAGTGGTTGAAGGAAGCACAACGGTGTGACGAACGGGTCACTGTGCTAGAAGTCGTGAATAAAGAAGGAAAGACAGAAAATGAAAAACAAAAGAAGAGATCGCCAAATTGAGCGATGAATCAGTCGGATTGGCTACTTCCGTAATGGAAAAGGATGATAAAATTACGGAACTAAAAGTCCAACTGAAAGCAGTTGAGGAAGAGTGCCAAGCGAGAGGAAGGACCCTCGCAGACAGAGCGGATCGTATTACACGATTGGAAGCAGAAGCTGAGATCCTAAAAGCAGCGAAAATGGATCTCGATAAGACCCTTGATAACAGGGCCAGTACAATCCTCGAGCAAATGAGAAAGGTCACCGAAGCAAACAACGATTACGAGAAACTGCGGAAGGACGCAAATGAAACCGTGAGACAGCTACAAGAAACAATTAAACAAAGAGACGAAGAAATCAAGACTCTCAAACGCTCGGCAAAACAGAAGGAAACTGAGATCCAACAGCCGGAACGAATCGAATCTCCGCCCCCTGGATACGGTGAAGTCCACACCGTCGAAGGTAGCTTTCATTTCCAAGCTCCCTTAAAGACGGGGACTGGCCGAGGCGACGGCCATGATAAAGATAAGGTCAAAGCTGAAAAGGTCACCGACGATACTGAGTTGGCGAAGGGGCACTCAGGACCGACCGGTGGGGTCAATCCTCGGCAACAAGAAACAGGACCGAGGGAAACAATCGTCTACAAATCTGACCATCAACCAGATAATCATGAAGATCCACGAGTTCGCCAAAACGAGCAGGAAAGGGTAGCTCGTGAAGAGGAGAGGCGAGAAAGAGAATACCGCGCGGAATACCATGCTGAGGCACAGCGACTCCGTCGCGAAGAACGGGAATTCAGAGGTTACATGAGAGCCATGGCCCGGAAATCCGCGTTGATCGACTACAACGGCAACCGAGAAGCTTTACTTGGTTGGATCCGTCAGGTCAAGGAGACTCAGAAGACGTATGACCTTTCGGATGCAGCAATGATGCTGAAGTCGCCAACGCAGTCAAAGGGGACGCGAAGGCATGGTTTGACGCGGAAAGAGAAATCGATGACGAAGAAGAGGCGGAAGAGTTAACCGTCGATGAATGGATGACAAAGTTCAAAGAACATTTTGGCGATCGTGACGAAGGGTCAACGCCTTAAGAGAAGCGATGACGAGAAAGTTCGAGGCTGGCAAAGAAACGCTTGACCAGTTCTATCAGGCGATCATGCGCTTCAAGTCGAAACGGATCATAACTGAGAAGCAGGCTATCGGATTCCTGATTCAAGGATGTAAGAATGACAGTGACCTTTATAAGGCACTCCGAGCACAGAAATTCCATAACCCAATGGATATCAAGGAATTCTTCCGCACCTGGTCGACTGGCGAAGAAAAGTATAAGGTCACGAGAGGCAATCGAGTCCAAGATGATTGCGTGATCATCCGATCGGGCCAGATCGAAGAAGTCGCGAATGGGCGACAGAACCAGTCGTGCTCGGCGCAGGCGTCAGGATACAATACGGAATTCCCGCCGTTAGGCACTCAAGAGATGACCTTTGGTAACGGTCGAAATGAAGGTCAGGTATCGTACGCGACGATCGCGGCGATCCAAACGGCCGTCCAAGAAGTAACCAAGCCTGCGATCGCGGCGATCCAAGCATCAGCTCAGCAAGCAGCAAGGCCGAAACAGAATCCACAAGGAAACGTGCAGAGAAATGCCCTGAATGGAGGGCTCGGTGGTCAAGGAATGGCTCAGGCGAATCCGGGCTTTGCTGGCCAGGGATTCAACGGTGGCGGAGGAAATCAGGGAAATTTCCGACCGAACCGTGGACAAGGAAATCAAGGACCACGATACGGGTCGCGAGTAGAGCGCCTGTTCACCATGATCGACGGATGGGTGGTCAATAACGCGCTGACATGCCAGAACTGCATGTACGGCAACCACTACACACAAGCGTGTTCGTTCGCGGGAACACCGTGGAATCAGAACCCCAACCGGGTCGTGTATGAAGAATGGTTGATGCTGCGTAACAATCATGGCGGATGGCGCAACGCAATAGCAAACGGATACGTGCCACAATCACGCCAAGGCGGTCGGTATGCTGGTCAAGGTGGCCAAGGGAACTTCGCCGGTCAAGGTGGCCAGGCCAACTACAACAATCAAGGAGGCCAGGGCAATTTTGGCGGCCAAGGGAATTTCGCTGGTCAAGGTGGCCAGTGGAACAACGGAGGTCAAGGCGGCCAGGATAACTTCGGAGGCCAAGGCAACTTCGCCGGTCAAGGTGGCCAAGGCGGAGGAAACGGCGGATATGGCCCGGTTAGAGGCGGCTTCCGAGGTAGAGGCAGAGGCCGCGGCGGCAATCGCGGAAATTACGGCGGTGGCCAATGGAATGGTGGTGGTCAAGGTGGCCAATGGAACGGTGCTGGTCAAGGAGGCCAGTGGAATAATGGTGGTCAAGGTGGCCAGAATTTTGCCGGTCAAGGTGGCCAGGGCAATTTCGCCGGTCAAGGTGGCCAGGGCGACTTCGGCGGGCAGCAAGGCGGCTTCGTCGGTGGGAACCAGAACGGTTTCGGTCAGCAAGGCGGAGGTTTTAACTTCGCCCCGGCGAATGGTGCCGGTCAGGCGCAAGGTGCGCCGGTTCAGGGAATGGCCCAGGGAAACGTTCAAGGTCAGTAGGCGCCGGTGAGCCTACTGATCGTCCGGAACCGAAACCACCGGATATAGAGGAGCAAGGTGCTCCGCTGCAGGCAAGGACCGCAGCGAGAAAGGGATGCTGCGAAAGTAACGCAAAGACCCGGAAAAGAAATCCGAGGATTCGAGAAAGTAACTCGAAATCGAGCGAAGGGGCTCGTAAAGGTCAAGAGAAGGGTTTAAAAAGATTGCCGCAAGGACGGAAGAATTTGACCGAAAGGTCACCGCAGAAAGTAACTGCGGGAAGTCAAGAAAATAACTTGACTCAGCCGGGGCCGACCGAAAGGTCACCGCAGAAAGTAACTGCGGGGAACAGGGTTGACGGAAGGGCCTCAACTCTGCATCCGGGACAGCAGAAAGTAACTGCAAATCAAGAAAGTCACGAAAGTAACGTGACGCTGCAAGGACAGCAGACCCAAAGGTCACCGCAGAAAGTAACTGCGAGCAAAGGTCACGAAAGTAACGTGACGCTGCAAGGACAGCAGACCCAAAGGTCACCGCGGAAAGCAACCGCGAGGAAGAGTGAAGCTACTCTGCGAAAGACGCAAGCGGAAATCTCAAGCGAAGAGGATGATGAAACACATCACGCGAGATTCCGAAAGTTCGTCGAAAATACGTTTGAAGTTGACGGAATGACCGTAACCGTGCAACGAACGCACGAAGGCGGTCCAGATAGACCGAAATTCCTTGAGCAGATGGCAAAAGTATTTCAAGCAAGAGCTGCCGAGGAAGATCACAGAAGGGCCGTGACTGCGCAAGGAGCGCAAGAGACCGAAAGGTCACCTCAAGCGAGAGTTGAAGAAGTGAAAGGTCACGAGAGATTGCCAGTGCAGCAGACTCAAGAGTCACTGAAAGAGAAAGGTCACGGTGAAGTCGCCGATGAACCGAAAGGTCAAGAAAGTAACTTGACTCTGCGAATGGCGCAGCAAACAGTGAAACAGAGCGAAGGGGCACAGCAAGTCTCAGATGACTCTCTCGATGAGGCAAACACTCTACAACAGAAGAATGAGTGGCAAAAAGTCGCTTACAGGCCGAATGGACGGCACGGTATGTGGAAACCAGTTCCTCCGCCACAAAGGTCACCGCAAGATGTGAGAATCTCCAGAGAAGCTTACTGGGAAGAAAGAGAGAAACAAGACTGGCGGATGAGAAAGCATCTCGAGGAAACGGTTAAAGCTTCACAACCGAAAGTACAAGAGTACTGGGAAGAGAAAGTCCAATGCGACGAAAATAACCGTCAGTTTCGAGAGCGGATTGAGAAGGGTGAACTACCGCCTCAGTATGGCGAGAAAGTACCTTTACAAAGGTCACTAAATGGTGGATTTTTCATGTCAAGACCAGAAAGGTCACCGGACTTAGCGCAAACTCCGCAAAAGGAGAAGTCATATGACATGACAGAAGCAATCCGGAATGACAACGAAAGGTCACCGCCAAGAACTGACGGATTATCATCTCAAATCGATCCAACTCGCACGAATAACGAAATTGCGAAGAAAATTACTGATTGGATGAAAGAAAACGACCATAAGATGGTTGTGTACGAAAGGTCACCAGAGAAAAAGAATGAGGATGACGAGATGACCTTTGCGGATGAAATTACGCAAGAGATAATGGCAAAGTTGCAAGAAAAACCGTCCAAAGATGTGCGCAATGAAAGGTCACAATACGAAGTTATTGCGCAAGTGATAAAAGGTCACGAGAACGCACAAGAGAAGGGTTTAACGTGCGAAGTGGCAAAGGTCACGGGTAAAGAAAACGCTGCGAAGGAGCAAGCGAATATCTTACCGAAGTCAAAAAGGATCGAAAAGTTCTCAGATGTGCGACCCGACGTACCGAAACGGATAGACCGTTGGAGCTCAAAAGGTCTGATAGAGAGCAAGCATGCTGCACCAATCCCAGTCAAGTGTCGAATAAGAGTCTTGAAACTCGAAGATGGAAACTTACCGAAACGGATCGAAGCTTATACACATGAAGTCAAAATTGGAAATAAAAAGGTCATGGCAATGCTTGACACTGGCGCAGAGACGTCTTTGATTTGTCAACAGTTCTGTGAAAGGAATGGCCTCCAGACTATAAGACTACCACCGAAAAAGAAGGTGATGATCAAAGGGATCAGCGGGACGTCAGGCTTCGAAGTAACGCACTACTGCGTAGCACCAGTGACCTTAAGAAGGAAAACGAGTCAACACTCGTTCTACGTCAGACCAGCGTCAGACGACGTCCAAGTCCTACTGGGATTCGACTTCCTCGCAAAGAAATTCGTCCTGATAGACGGACACGACGAGGAAGAAAGGGAAACTGAAGCTGAAGACGATGAGCCGAAATCATCCGCAAAAGTTAATGCAGGAAAGGTCACCGAACTTCAACTAAGAAGTAATTCGGGGCAAACGGCTATCCCAGTACCAGAGGCACAGGGATCGAAGGAAAATAAGCAAAATGAGAATGGTGAAAATCTAATCCCAGTACCAGAGGCACAGGGATTAGAAAAGGCTGAAAGAAGCAAAAGGTCACCGAAGTCTAAAGGAAATCAAAGGTCACCAACGATGAAACAAATCAAGATAATGCAAGCAGAAGCACTGATTGCAAAGAAACAGTCGCTAGTGCCAGGAATGGAGTGGTCAAGGCTACTCCCAGTACCAGAGGCACTGGGCACGAGAATGGTTGGGCCCAGGACAGAGCCAGGACTGATGATCGAAAGCGACGAAAGAGCACTATTCTCGGAAATACGAGATCAAGCCATAAAGCAACTGGATGCAAGGAAAACGGAGCATGGTGCTCAACACACTTTCGAACCACGTGATAAAGCAAGAGGGCGGATGAAAGGTCGAGACACGCGCCTGCGCAAAGAGGTAGCAGAGAGTAGTCGTCGTCTTACTTCCGAACCACGCTCTGCAGATGAAGAAATCGAAGTCATCGAAATATCATCAGATAACAGCGTAATCGAAATCGAAAAAGATGACGAATGGACAGATACCGATTCCGGAGAAACGGATAAGCGAGTTATCGTCCGTCCCGAACCGAGACAACGGATGCCGGAAGGGAACAATCGCGTCATTTCCCGCAAACCAAGAGAATGGACGGCGGAAGAGAGAGCAACCTCTTGCCATCACGATTGGCACGACAGCGACGACCTTTCGATAGCGCGACCTCAAGAAAGATGTGCAAAATGCATGCAAGAAATGACACAAGATGACCTTTCGGAATGGCCGAAATGCAATGCAGCAATTGCGCGTCATAAAAGACAAGAAGAAATAGAGGTCAAGTCGATTATGAGAACACTTCCCATGCCGGAACTGTCAAAAGCAACTTACCTTTGGCAATGTTATCGAGAATGGTTATCGGTAGTCAAGAACTACATCATCTCCAGAGGGAAGTGGCTCCATCATTGGCAGCAAGAAGCGGACAACTTCATTCCCGAGAAAGCGGATAAAAGCGACCCGTGGTATACAAACCCGATTACAAAGCTCGACAGAGAAAGGCGACGAGCAATGGAAGAGAACGAAATATGGGAGCAAGCGAGAGTTGACTTATTTTGGGAATTCAGAGTTAATTATCTATGGAAAGGTCAAGGACGAGCAATCATTTTCCCAATTGGACTCGGCACAGTAGTGTACGAATTATTTGACCTTTACCAGGCCTGCCTCAAAAAGGGAAGCTTACGAGAATGGAATAAACAATGGGGCAAAATCCTCGAAGAAGTACCGATATTCACAGGAGAAATTCCAGAATTAAAGGTCACGCGAAAAAGACGCGAACTTGGATTATTTGGCTATCGAGAAAAAGAAGGTGACCTTTACCAGATCCAGATGGAGTGGAGTATCCCGAAAGAGGCGGAGATACTTGGTGCATGTATGAGACGGTACCGAACAATGACTGGACTACAGAAGAACTGATGGCAAATTGCGTCTTTATCGGCGATAAGAGACCGAAAGGTCATGGCACAAGCGCTGAAAAGAAAACGGCACAAGCGCCGAAGAAGAAAAGAACAAAGATAACGGCACAAGCGCCGAAGAAACCAAAGAAAAGAACAAGAGGTCAGCACAAGTGCTGCTCAAGAAAACGGCACAGGCGCCGAAGAAGAGGAACCAACGCACACGGCGTATGAGTTGGCTCAGATGATCAAGGGAACTGAACCAGGCGTTTCGGGATAAGGAAAACGGAATCCCGGTAACAGAGGCAAAAAAGGCTCAAATGTCGCCGCAGAGAAAGCAGCGTCGTTAGTGGCTTCACTAAAGGTCACTCGGTAACGGCGAGGAAGGGCCACCAACCGAGAAGAACGAAAGGTCACTAAACGCGATGCTGGAAGAGGAGCCAGAAAGGTCAGTTCCGAAAGTTGACGAAAGGTCACCTGAAACTGGCGAGGAAGGACCGCCAGTTGGAAAAGCAAAAGGTCACAGAATACCGCTCAAGCAGATGATAGCTCGGAAGACGATGAAGGGATAGGTCACGAGCAAGGATTCGTGCAACACGAACAAATCCGAGGATAGCAGCACGAAACGGACGAAAGTCCAAGAAACGGACAAACCTCTGCCCGAAAAACGAAAGTGAAAAAACTTAGCGCTTCCAAGGATGAAAGCGATGACCTTTCAACAGAAAGTGAAGACGAAGGCGTCGATGAGCGACCAATCGAGAAAGAAGCAAAGGTCAAGAGCTTGAAGCTAACCACAGCAGCGAATCCGACTCGGAATTCTCGAGCACGAGCGATAACTCGACCACTTCTGAAGATTCTGGGTGAGTGACCTTTCAGATCAAGAAGATCTGCTGGACCTCGACGAAGACGATGAAAAGAACGAACAACAAGAGAAAGAGATCATTGTTCGAAGAATTAAAGTGCAGAAAGCAAGAATCCCAGAAGGAGCGATCAAGGTTTACAGCGACCAACGAGTTAAGCTGAGACCAAACCTTGGCACACGCGTAAAGGTCAAGATGGGCGTTCATGTGCCACGGAATCAGCTGATGTATACAGCAATTCCTCAAAAGGATAATGAAGTCCAACCGAGAACGGGAGTCACGGACCATAACGGCACTCGATTCGAAATTATTATCGAAAACCGAAGCAAAAGCCGAAAGACCGTAAGGAAGGGCCAATTTCTCGGTTACGTAGAACATTACGA